GCCTTCAACACTCTGTTTTGGATTTTGGCCGTCTTTACACACTAATTGACGTTTTAGTTTTTCTCATTAGAGGGTGTAGCTTTGGCCTGAACCATTTGTTTAATTTTGGCTTAATGTTGTCTCAAGGCAAATGTGTACTTGACCTGCAGGTCAGCAATAAGTGTGAAGCGCTTACTCTCAGCCTCCCTCCCTGTGTAGTTATTACCCGATGAGCCATGAACAGTCTCGAGCAGCACCCAGTGGTTGTTTCAAAGATTGAATGTAGACCTGAGATGGCAATCTTGTTCCTGTCTTAGGCAAAGGTGACCTAAACGAGGTGCTGTGTGGCAAAACACATTATCCTGCCATCTATAGAAAAATACAAAAAAAAAGGAGGGGGGGGGAAAGCAACTCTTACACATGTTGTCTACCACCACACGTGAAGGGGGCAGTATAGCTGAAACTTCATTCCTAACGTTTCTCCAGAACTACTGGGGCCATAAGGATGTGCTGGGCTCATTATATAAGAGCAGAAATCAAGAGCTTTATCAAAATGCATAACTTGCGTGAGCGGCCTGTTCTGAAGGATCACTCAGGGATCCTGGTCAGGACAGATGTACAACTGACCAAATATCAACGTTGACCAAATATCATCTCGTGTTTCTCCTGTGCAATCAGGACATACTTGAGGCCAATTAATTAGAAATCATTTAAATTTGACGAATGAACATTCTTCCTTGACTGTCCTAGGGATCAGGATGGGCTTGAAGATATTTAATTTCACATTAAATCTATACTTTGAAAATTTGTGAACCTTTGCTCCCCCTGATGGTCAGACTCGGTAGTGCGCCACCAAGCCACTGACCTGAGCCATGCTACAAAGCTGCACTTGACATTTCTGATATAGTGGGAGGGAGGGTGTTCCTTCTGAAACTGATCGGAGTAGGAGGCCGGGAAGGCCGGTCTCCCACCGGGAGCCTAAGTGAAAGGCAGCGAGCGAGCTGCCGGAGACTGGGACGCTGCTGGCAGAACTGCGGATCCTCCCGAGCGGCCGATGTGCCGATTTTGTGAAAAATGTCAAAATCGTTCGGGGAAACGGCATGGCAGCGAGGCCTGAGGATGCGGCAGTGCACCCCGGCCCCGTGCAGGCGGCGGGGAGCGGGCGGCCAGGCCGCCGGGAGGCGTGCAGCGCCACAGCCGACCGATTGCGGCTTGAGTGTCGGTCCATGCGGCTGTGGTGTCGCGGAGTCAGTTTCCAACGCTGTACCTAGGAGCCTGCTCTCTGCTTCCCGCCTGGGACGACTGCCCCCCTACCCGCCTGGTCGGTCCCGACGGAGACCAGCCGCCTGTCCTGC